GATGTTGGGCTCTGCAGCTGTGCCAGGACAAGGTGCTTGTGATGCTGGTACAGAGTGCCCTCCTAGATGGGATACTGAGCTATAGGCCTGGTGTTACACAGGTCAGCAATCTGTTCTGCTGCCATCCTAGGGCAAAGTTTGAGCACAGTGGAAGAGACAAAAGTCTGGATATACCTCAACTCGTGCAGGAAGTCTTCCATAGGCAGGGTGAGCTTCAGTTGCTCATCCTGGTTCCTCTCATCAGGTGCCATACACAGGGCTTGCCTGTCTCACGTAATGTCGTGGTCTCTGGTACCACCAAATCTGAGTACCTCACAGCTTCCCTCAAATCTTTGCATTTTTCTCACATTCCTAAGGGGCTAAAAATTGCTGTAAGCCCTGCTTTACAGGAGAGAAGTGGACACACACAGATGTCACCTCTTCAGTTTCCTAAACAATGATGAGAAATCCTAGGGCAGAACCAGAAATAAAACCTGCCTTTCCCAGTGATGTTCCCTGAGGAGTTACCTCAGGGTTTTCCTACCCGTGGGGCCAAGTAGCACATAGTAATATGTTACAGTGGTTCAGGGAAAACTCTGAGGAATCACAGCAGACTGGGATCTGTTACATTTGTGAGCAATAGCAAAATGTACCAGCATTGGAAACTCCTTTCCCTCCATCTGTCATGCCCGAAGTGGCATTTACGCAGGCGGATCTCTATGCCAAGGGGTCATGTTACAGCCCAGTTCTCTGCTAACCATGTTACTGCATGTTTTTGTCTCACCTGTGTACCCAAGTCCAACCCGTGTTACAGCTCAGAGGACAAATTCCTTGCTAGAACAGAGTTTGACCTCATGTATACCAGCAGTAATGACCACTATTGCAGCACAATTCCCAGGCATGTTCAGTTTTCTGTGCAGAGAGGACTGCTCACACTAACAGAGAAGGCCATCAAAGTGAGGTGTGCCCTGTAAACCTCAGGGATGGGGTGGGGGAGTGGTGATATGCCAACCTATAAAAGTTTGCAATATTCTTTTAGCCAATTGCACAATTATTATTTCTTGCCTATTTTACCTCCTTCTCCTTCTCCTACACTTATCTCCTGAGTTGAGAAGAACAACAAATCAGGTGTTTGGGTGCCAGCAAAGCACTTGGGAGACCTGGAATCTTTTTGCCTGATGCAATACTTTGCATCCAAGTTGGGTGAACCCCTTAGGGTATGCCTGCAACAGGTGAACTAAGTGCCTGAGAAGTTCTACCTGCCGGTGGGGAACAGCCAGATAAATTAACCTGGAGAGAACATGGCATGACTATCTCCTGACTGATTTAGAGCTGGTCCCTTGAAGAGGTTGCCTAGGCTGCTTGGATGGCTCAGCTACTTATAAAACAGTTGGTGAACCCTTGCGGTTAACAACCCTCATCATTAAGGTAAATCAGTACCAACACAGGAAGTTTTAAATGAAAAATGGGCACATTTAGATCACTCTATATGTCTGTCTGCTCTAGTATCCTCTCTTCATCAGTGGTTGATAGCAGATGTTTAGAGAAAACTGTATGAAAAAGGCAAGCATGTAGTGGTAATTCTCTGGTGTAGTTGCCAGGCTGTGGGTTCCTGAAATCTTCCTAGAATCTTGCTGTTTAATAGCACTTAATAGATCTGTCCACAACTTTGTAAAATCATTTTTAAAATCTATTTTAAGCATCCATAGCACCGTTGGCAACAAGCTTCAGAATTTAATTATGCATTTGATGAAGTGCTTCCTTTTGTGAGCTTTGAATCTGCCACCTCATAACTTTATTTTATGCTGTTTCTTCTGCGTGATCCTGCCATGTGAGCAAACTGCCCAGAAGTCACCATGACTTTTCAAGCTGTACCTCAGCTATAGCTGAATGCCTGTGCAATTGTGGCGGTTATGCATATGTGTCAAGGGGAGGTGGTTTTTCACTTAACCAGGTCCATACCAATGTAACTGCCTAATTTTAAATAGCATTACAATAGCATGAATAGGTCTGCCAATGTTTTAACTCTTGCCTCTTCTTAGAAGTGAAAGCTTTGCCAGTGTAGAGCACTGATATATGAGGGTGACCATGCTTGCTCAGAGAGCAGATGTAGTCAGAAGAGCTTGTCTTTCAGCCACAGCTTTGTACAAACACTTTTCTAGCACTAGTGAGTTTTACCAGGCAGGTGTTTCTGCTTTGGAGATGATGTGTGTCGAGGCTGTGCTCCATACCAGCCTGTAACTCACAGGCAGAAAACAGGGCTTTGCTGCAGGACTGATGCCAGCAAGGCAGCTCACTCCTCTTTGCTGTCCAGACCCATATATAGGCCAACAGAAGTCTCTGGTAATCCAACCTCTAGGGCTAAGCCAGCCTGACAGAATACAAAGCTGTCCCTCAAGTGATTTGAAAGTAAAAGCACAAATATCTTCATGAGGTCCATTGGTCCCTGCCCAATACCTGTACTAATGGCATGGAGTTCACTGAAGGCCTGTGCCTATGATTTGCACAAAAAGCCATGTCCCCAAGACCATATCTGAAGGTCTGATAAAAGACTTGATTTTTCAGGAACCCTTGAGTTTCTATTAAAAGCAGTGAGAGAGATTGTGAGCTCATTTCAGATTCAAGTCTTTTACTCAGAAGTCTAAATATGGAGTTGGACTTTTATTTTATGATATACTGGCCTTTGTCTCGGGCTGTCATAAAGCAAACATGATAAGCTAACAACTGGCATAAAATTTTCAGTTACTTTCTAAATGTTACAGCAGCAGAGAACCAAGCAGAATTACTGAAGGGTCAAAGGCACAGATTAGAAACATCATTAAGGAATGGTAAGAATTACTGATAAGTCCTAGTGTCTTTGTTTTATTACTTCCCTATCTCAGGCAGGTCTGCAAACACACTGATTCACGTTTAATTGAACAACAGCTTCATTGTGAAACCTGCCATTCTTAGCTGCAGTATAGAAAATATCTTTAAAAACACCACCCCCGCTTTCTAACATTGTACAGACAAAGAATTACAGCTCAACTGCCATAGGATATACACTGCAAGTGGCATCATCTTCCTTAAGTCTCGTTTCCTCTGTCACATGTGGTGTGACAAACAGCAGTCTGGGGACCAGCATGCTGTGTGTGCCTTTGTGTGGAAGGGCTGCCCTGGATCTGCAACAGGTCCTCTCCTTCTCCCACTGTTCCCTCATGCGTGCCCCTTGTGTGTGAGCTTTGGTCACAACCAGCAACCTCTGGGCCAGTGTCCCAGAGCTGCAGTCTGGGGCAAGGCAGGCGATGCTGTGTGGAGGTGTGTGAGAGTGGCCTTCTCTCTGAGTTCCCAAAGGCCCGTCCATGCTCTGGATTGTGCACAAGCAAACACGTGTCCCACTTTCCCAAGAACAAGCAGACAGTGAAGCGTGTTCTGCTTTCGTTGTCCATGGGCTGCAACATTCACTACCTATGATCAATCGTATATATTTGATTGCTCTCATATGAATAAAAAGGATTAGCTGGCTCTGCAGAGCATTCGGCCTACATTTCACTACTTCGCTTGTGAAGCTGAGCTGGATAGGAGTGTGAAAAAAAGAGCTTGTTAAAGCCCTGGTGCTGACACAGTTATGTCAGCCAAAAAAAAAAAAAAAAGTCTCAATACCTCATTTCATTTTAAGGGATGTATTCCTTTGGTGCTCTTAGCTGTGGCTTTCATTGCTGTACTGGCAAGCCCTGTCTCGAACACATCATGCAGTGCAGGGATGGTAGGGTACACAGTCCAGCTTGGCTGTGACTCCAGCTGTGTGGTGCTGGCACCTACTCAATCTAGGTGGTAGTCTGGTGTCCTTGGTGCAACCCCTGGGAGAGGTAGGCATCTATTGCAAAGTTTAGGCTTGAGGAGGACACATGAGAGGCTTTGACCTACCTCCGATTTCAGATAGTGCATCCATGTGCTCAGAGAGTGCGTTCAACTCAGCTTACTTCAATTCCAGCACACAGAGCACAGTGCTGTGGTTTGGAGGAGAGTGAATGGTCCTTTAGGTCAGAAGACAGATGCAAACGTGTGCAGGATGCCCCATGCTGTGTAATAGATCCCTGTGTCTGCTTCAGACCATGTGAGATTTCACAGTTCTAGTGTCACCATAAGTTAGCTCACCAGAGTGATCTAAATTGACATAACCAAGCTAAAAGTGACAGTTCAGTACAGATAAGCCCTTCATCTTTTAAGTTGGTTATTTACATTAGATCAGTCTGTGTGAGTCACAGTATCTGACCTAACAGCCTGTTCCACTACCTGGGTAAGGATTTATCTGACTCTGTCAATTTTTTGGCAATGTTAAACTCCTCATGCAGTCAAGACTGTTAGAAGGGGCTGGAAACTTCTCTGGACCAGCGACACACTCCCTCCTGCTCAGGGTTTTAACCTTTAGTCATTTTATTTTTAGCCAAAATTGCTGAAAGCTCTTTCCTCCCAATCTGTGCGCTGTAGATTATAAAAACCTAATGAGAAAAGCTAAAACTCATTTGCTCAGAAAGAATAATTCCAAATCTGTCCTTTGGCAAATGAGAAAATTAGGCAAACTAATGCATTTGTCATAGACTCAGTTGAATATGCTGTTTTATTCAGCTTCATGTAAGGGTGCTGTAATAAGGGTCTGGGCATAGGTCCCTGAGAGGTTAATAACTCCAACATTGTTTCTACAGGGCTTTTCAGAGCACTGTAGTTTTCCAGATGGAGGACTGGCAGCCTCAGGAAAGATCTAGGCCCAAGGGATCCTGGCAACAGGGAAGGCAGGGTGGGTGGGGATCTATGAGTGTTGCAAGAGAAGATCATGTCTATAGACCTCCACCTGAGGACTGTGTGCAGCTCTGCTGTGGACCTGTGAGCTTTGGACAGATGGGTCTATGAGTTATAGTGCCAAATGCAGTGTAACTATAGTTTGATTTTGAGTGTTGCCTCCTCTCCAGTTCTCTACTAAACATCTGTCTCGTGTGGCCAAGGCCAAGTCACTTTTTCCCATTTCTCACTTTTTGCCTTAGGAAAAGGTAAGAAGCAGTGCTCTTGTCCTTAGTATTGTGTGAAGATCCAGCACTGGAAAACTGCCTATGTGTTGTGAACATTACTGATGATCCCAGAATGCGGAGATGGTCCAGCATGGTAAGTCTGGTCTGATATCTGAGACTTAAATAAATCTCAAATTAAGACTACAATTGAATTACCTAGCCTATAGATGCTATTCATAATTTTTCTGTCTTGCTCACTTTTATGTTTTATTCCACTGTGTATTTGAATTGCTCTGCACTGCCCAACCTCATTCTGCCATTTGGGTGGGGCAAGAGAAAAGGCTAAATTTGTGGCTTATATATGAAGAAACCTTTAAGCTCTCCACCAGATTCTCCTGTTGGCTCCTGTGGAGTGCCTGAGGCTGGGATCACCCTGTAAAGCTTGCAGGCTTTGGTATTCTTGTTCTAACTGCTTTGCTGGCATATTGAGGTAGAAAAATGGACTCACTCTTATGTCCTCAAGAAGTTAGGCATAGCAATGACAATAAGAGAGAGGTATTTGTGGTTAGGAGAAATTTGCATTCATGCTCCTGGAAAGGTATGGGGGTTTCCCCTCTAAAAAAAAAAAAAATGCTGTAGGCCAAACCTGCATCCCCAAGAAAGCAATGACTATGGTTTTGCACAAAGGCATGTCTGTCAGAGGGAAAAAAAGATTATAAAAAAGTAGTTTTCTAAAAGAAAAATTGGTTTTAATGGAAAACATGTATCCAACAAAATGCCTGGAAAATTTGACTGCTGCAAATTTCTGACTTTATGTTTCAGTCAAAGATAAACTATCAGGCTGACTGAAGAAGTAATGGAATGAAATTATACTGTCTGTGTTATGCTGGAAGGGCAGAATAAATGATCCCTAGGCTGCAGTCTCAAAGGACCATGGCATTTTCATGAATTTTCTACACAGTGTTGCCTGGAGCCAGACAAGACACTAGCTAGCTCACTCTTCCCGTCTTGCCTCTGCTGTTTGGGTCTGTTGCAAAGCCTGAGCTGTAAGGGGTAGAAAAAGAGTGCAGTGGGGCTAGATCTGCAAAGAGCATTTCCAGCAGTTCTAGAATGACAGTGGAGAGAAAAGCTTCTTACCTGAATACTTGTGTATGTCTGGCCTCCCACAGTTCTGCTCCTGGCACTTCTTTTGGATGATCCCAAACAAGTTCCTTCCCTCTCTTGAATGGCTTTTTTACAATGGAAAATGGAGGGAAAAGTCATCTAGGTGAACTAGAAGCATGGATTTCAAATAGATGAGTCATCTGTATCAAAGTGGACACCTTTAGTAAGAATAATGGTGGGCTAAATTAAACGTTCTTCCTAAGTTAAAATGCCCACATGTGGCTTTAATGTGATTTAATCAAGTTTTTAAAAGTTTCATTAGCTTGCAAAGTTCATTCAAATTAAGTTTCTGGAGTATGTCCATGTAGATAAACCCATAGTTTTTCCCTCTGATGAAACGAGGACTTCACTACCTTAGAAAAGCAATGCTGCCAGACTCAGTTCACTAATACCTAGAAAGCACTTTGTTCTGTGGGAGGCAGGAGGCCAAACATGTAGTTCTCTCCTGTGAGTGCAGCAGACACAGGCTTTGGGCAGCTGCACGTGGCTCTGTGCGAGGCTCCCAGCTGCAGCCCTCTCCCAGACACATGCCAGCTAGCAAGGACAGGCTGTCACCTGCATGCAGCCATAACCAAGGTGCCAGAACGCTGGTTCTGCCCTTTCTTCTGACACCAGCTTCCCATGTCCCACACGGACCTACCAGCAAGAAATGGGGCCATAATAATGTATGTGCATTTACTCTTCAATGTGCTTTGAAGTCAAGAGGGGAGAGGGGGATTTGCAGGCTTGTTTTGAATGCCCGATGTGGGTGACTTTGCTGTGCCGTTTCATTATGGGAACTCAACTGCAGCAGATTTCTGGAAACCTGATCCCTGAGATAAACGTGGAAGAACTGAAACAGCAGTATCTGTCCAGTGCTTCAGACTGTCAGTTCAGAGACAGGTCAAAGCCTCCATGACCTGAATAGGGCTGTCAGTATAAGGACAGCTGCTCTCAGACACAGGCACTCAGTGGACCTAAGTGGAGGCAAAAGTTACATTAAACAGCCACACTGCTTTCCAAGTCACATGAGACCTACTGACATGCATTTTCTAAGAGACTAATGACATTTAAAGCTCTTTGAGTAAACTATTTGCTTTACGTTTATAACAGGATAATCATCCCACTGCTTGTCATGGGAATCAGGGCACTGATCACCATCCCAGTGACCAAAAACATTCTCCTGGAGAATAAAATATGCATCTTTATCATTTAATTCTGCCTCATCAATAATGCTGGGAAAGATTCTCTTACAAAGGTATCAGGTTTAAGAGAGCAGCCATCTTAAAAACCATGCCAGCCTCTTTCCAGATGGCATTTTGAGTACAATATAGACCAGGACCTTTGCTCTCCAATCCATTAGACAATTAATTAGTGCTTATAAATTAAATATGTGCCTAGCAGAATGTGTCTTTCCATGTGGCAAGCCTCGTGCAGCAAGGACAGATTGTGAGTCAGTGAGGCACCACAGGTGACATGGAGGCCACCTCAGTCAGTCATTTCAGCTGAAACATGAGAGGCAATTCGCACAGTCTAGGAGGCTGCATTTGAAGAAGGAGTGTACTTTATGTATTCTTATAGGCTAGTATGTTGTCTGGTAGTGATGACGTGTGGGTTACTGCTTAAATACCACCACGACAGTAAGACAGGTACCTCACTCATCAGGCAAACTACCACATGTCCACTGAAGTTTATGGTTCACTTGTAACTGCACACCCCACAGGGAGGCTGATCCGTGGCCCCCCTGAGGCTTGTGGTGACTTACACAGTAAGACCAGGGATAGCTTTCAATTGTCTTGTTAAGCCATAATGAAACACACTAGTGGGCAGGCCAGTGCAGGCTCCAGCTGTGCACTGCCCTCACCTCTGTGCAGTTGTTGGCCTCTAAGGCTCACTCAGGTGAATTTCCAGAGGCTGCAGTCACACCACCAAGCTGGAGGGTGAGGTGCAATGTGCCGGATACAAACTGCTTCTCCGAAGTGAGACATAGATTAGGTGGGGACTACGCCCAGTTCACTTAGCTGTCAGTGTACTGCCTGGTTTGGGAAATCCCTAGGCGGGGGACTACTGGCACCTGGGAGGTCGTTGGTCACTTGCCCTCTTCTTAGGCTCTTTTTCTAAATATTTGGTACTGACCACATCTGGAGAAGATGCACTGGATTAAATGGACCTTTGGCGTGTTCCAGGTGTTCCCAGTCTTCTGTTCTTTTGGTCACCAAAACTCGCTTATAATAAAGCTGGTTAGCTAAGACCATTTTGATATTGAGTGTTCATTTGTGAAGTGCTTAGAATATCAGGCAACAGTGGCTAATCTTTGATTACCAGTAGTGACTGCTTTTTCAAAAGAAAATACGGATGGGGAGAAAAAGGAATTTCTGTTCAGTTCCTGGTCCTGGTTGCCTGGTGAATTTTTTTAACATGCAGAAGAACAGATTTGCATGTTGGTATTTTGGGGATGTTTCCCATGAGAAAAAAAGTACAACTCAAAAAACTCTAGATGACTTGGGTGTCTTGTCAGGATTATATGCTCCAAGGGTTTGTGTTATTCAGCTGATAAATAGGGTTTAAATAACAGAAAAATAACAGTAATGCCTCATGTAAATAACAGCAGTATTGCCACATGCTACCTGTCGCATTGTTCATGCAGACATGATGTTTTGCTGATGGCATTCACTTCCCTGTGCCCAGCACTTGTGTCCTATTCATCCAGAATTGAGATTTTCTGAGAAATGCCCGATCAATCTGTGGACACCAGTGACACAAGTGCCCAGCCCAGCTCCCATCATGCTGTTGCACAGCTAAAAGCACAAAATGAGGTTCATCCAACTTTTCAAGTAATTCACACAGATCAGGTTCTTAGCTCCTATTGATTACAATAAGAAATTATATGAGAATTATAATGAGAAAAGTGCTTTTAAAACACCTGTTAGATGTGTGTCTGCCTCCCTTGGCCTGTATGTGAATGCCTCTCAGCTGTGTGATCTGCTCCAGTTCACAGGACTGGTTAAAAGAGAAAAGGGAATTTCAGACTCCAGCGTGGTTACCACAGCACCACATTTTACATCAGGGGAATGAAGACAGGCAGTTTCCATCACAGCTGCACGATGTCTTTTGTCATGATAACTAAGATGTTCAGGACTGTAGAGAGATTCTCCAGTGAAAATGTGTTTGGTTTTTACCTGTTATGTGTCACTGTGTTGCAGGTGATGGTGCAGTGTTGGTCATCCCAGGATGTCACAGTGGAACCAGACAACCCAAAGCAAAGTCCACCAAGAAGCCCACAGTGGGCAGCAGGCTTTTCTGTTTGCAGAGACATCTACCTTCAGTTGGTAAGAACTTTTAGTGCAAACAATGCTGGAGTAATCTTTAAAATTATCACATACATCTGTGAGTTGTTTTAGGTAAAGGACCTCCCATGAGGATAAGGAGAAAGGCCTCTGGATGGCATTGTAAATCATGTAGCATCCCACTGATGTTTAGGAACAAGTCGAACCTTAACTTACTACTCCCATTGCCAGCTCCTGTGTGGTGCTGCTTAGATAAGTCTTGCTCCTTATGGCTAAAGATAGAAATGTTTTTCCAGTCTGATTTTGTTTTTAATCTCCATTAGAGCAGGCCTCAAAATAGTTTTGGAGTTTATTTATTTCTTGTTCTTTGACTTGGTTTCATGCTGGATGTTCCAGGCTGGCTTGTCCTATAGACAGCAGGGCTCTAACTGGAGCAGACAAGCAGGCTGGTGCCCAAATAGAACCTGCCATCAGAAACCCTGCATAGAGTTTATGGCTAGGACTGAGTGGAGAGTGAAGCCTCACTGCCAAGACAGAAAACTAGTGGCAACCTGTTTTACTGGTGCACTGTGCTGCTATCTCCAGTAGGAGCCAAATGTGCATGGTTTTGTTTGGACCAGCAGGGGTGAAGCTCGTATCAGTCCCCCAGAATTGTGGCTGAGTTCACAAAGCTGCCTGAGTTTGGTGGCTGCATACCAGGAAGCTGGTTGCTGCTGCATTAAGGGCTCCAGGTGCCCATTGCCACAAAACATGTGCTGTCCTTGCTAGCATCATAGCTAGTTTCTGCATAATGCTGCTTCCCTGTGTGGTGATCACTTCCAGATGTGCCAATGAAAATAGGGTGGATTTCATGTAAGGAAATATTTTCATATTATTTTCTCTGTTTTTCCCGTATCAGCCTAAAAGAGAAATTCTGGCAATATGATTTGACTTCTGCTGCCTTCACAAGTTGCTTTTGCCTCCATGTGTTGCCTCCAGTGTTGATAGCTGGCAGGTTTCACTGTAGCATCCAACAGAATTCTATACCATCCAGCAGAAGTATTCATCCCAGTTATCAAACATCAGGCACACAGCATGTTGTCTCTGTTGGATCTCCCTCTTCTGTCTCCAACTGCCAGCCAGTCCACCCCAGAAACCTTCCCTTGTTCTGCTCATAGTCACCAGTTCAACATGAGGTGAATTTTTTTTCTATCACTGAGCATATAGGCCTTCTCCTGCCAGGACTGGTCAAAAGCCTTCACCAACTGGTCTCTGAGGCAGGGAAAAGTGGCTCAGCTCATGTAGGTTAAACCAAATCAGGATTGAAATGATATACTGATTTATTAAGGATAATCCATGAACTATACATTTAGGATCTATGTCAGCAACACAGCAGTTCAACCACAAGGTTAGACACTTAGAAAACACTAATAAATTCCTTCAAGTTCCTAAACACACTTTTGTAACTAATCCCCAGACATGCAGGCACCAACCCCTCTGTCAGTGGCATGGGGGCCACTTCTGGGAGCACAGGTCCTGCCGCTTATGCCCTGCTCCTACTGGAGTTGTGGCCACTCCAGCTCTAGGGCCACTCCAACTCCACACCACTCCCTACAATCAGCTAATGCACCTGCTGTGAGAAGGCGTGCCAGCAGGTCCCACACACCGTCCCAAAGTGTGAGTCCCTACATGCTGCACCCCACGGGGTCAGGCCACATGTTGGTGCCAGTGCTGGAGCTTCTGCATCTGATCTTAACAGAGATTATGATGTACCAGGCTGGCTTTTGACAGTCTGAGGCCTCTCCCTGCTCCATTACCATTTTCTATGTTTCTTTTATACAGCCTGTCAGACTAACTCATTCTTTGTCTCAAAATTGTCTTTCCCTGGTTACCGTTTAATCCAGCTGATAGTTGCCATCCTCTTTAGTATAATCAGCTAAGGCCTGGTGATTATTTCCCTCTTCCATCAGTTTCCAATCAGTTTGGGGCAAATGACCTCTCAGACACTTTTGGGTTTTCCATCCGTACATGCTGTTTACAGTCACTTATCTATCTTATCAGCTGTTGTCTTCCACAACATTTTGCCAAGTGCAGGCACTCCCACACAACTACTGAACTGATATTAAAGAAAGGAATAGTGGCCTCATATCTTGATTTGGGGGGAGGCTATTTCTACTTAAATTTACTTTCTCAGTGCCTACCAGTTCGTGAATTTTTGAACTTAGTTACCTCAGCTTGCATAGCTATATACAATTGATCTGTTCAAGTGTAATCATTGTGCTCGTAGGACTACAGCATATAAGTCTATATCCTAATGATCCCACATCTGTAAGGGGGACAAGGAGAGAAAGAAGGAAGACTTGAAAGCTACTTTTGTCATGCTGAGTTCTGGGAGACTACTATGTTTAGTGTTAAATTGTGTAGCAGCCACTGAGTGGGCTTCTTTCTCCTGAACCTCCCAGGCAGAAAGTTGGAGGACAATCCTAAAGCAGTGTCCAGTAAGACCAAGAAGCTGTTGTGGGGACCAAACACCAGCACATTCCTTGCTGGGACACTGAGGGCAGCTCTCAAGGGTTACACCTCTCCCCTTCAAGGCTTCTTGCAGCTCCCAGAGAAGTATAAAATGCCTCTTGGACACCAAGCATCTTGATTGTGGTCTGCAGGGCTGAGGCAGCTCTTGTCACCTGTTTTTTCCTCACCTGTTGAGTGTGATGCAGGCTTGGTGCCAAGCTCTTGGCCAACTGCCCTTTTCCAGCTCCTGGGCATGCCAGCCCGAGGAGCCCCAATGGCAGTGTTTGCAGTGGCAGCCCACAAATAGTAACTTTCTGAGGCCATTTCTCACACCTCTGTCACCTTATGGTTAGCACTTGGACCTGCAGTCTGTGAGGGGCTCCCCACCCTGGCATGCCTGTCTCCTTCTGCTGCAGATCACAGCAATATCCACAGCCACCATCAGAGACATTTCTAGATCATACATTACCCAGAGTTCCTGTATGTGACCACCAGCAGCACAATCTCATTTCCCCTCGAAATGTCACTAATGGGCAGAACAGTCACCAAGCCACACAAATCGTTACTTTGTTTTGCTCTGCACTGGGCGCTACATTTTGCTGCTTCATTAGAAGTAATTGTTCACCCTCCTGCTACATAGTGAGACACCTTTCCTTGCCCTAAGTGCTTTCTCTCAGTCTCTCAAGGCAGGAGACCCAAAGGAAGCAGGAATATCATTGATGGCTATGCCCAAACCCACCGGAGAAAATCAGGGTTCTCTTCACATGCTAACTGCTCAAGGCAGTGAGACAAACCCTTAGCAACTTCTATCTTGTAGGTTGTTCCTCCCTAGGTGCCGGTGCACAGCTTTCCCCAGCCCTGTTCTTCATCCTGCAGCTAATCTCTTGGACATACATTGCTTTGCACATTTTGTTCTTGGCAGTTTCCAATGTTGCCTCAGGCCCTTATCACCTTAAAAGATCAGATCATATAGTAGTGGCCTTAGAGACGGCCTGATTGATATCTGCACAGCCAAACAAGCAGTAAATTTGAATAAAATCTGGCACCTTGTTGCCTATTAATTCTGCTGATTCTGAGAGGATAATTCACGGACATCAAGTAAAGTGTGTGTACTGAGCATGCATGGGACAGAGTTTTTGGTTGTGTAAAAGTTTGTAGGGATGGTGTGCAACCCTCATGGAGGGCCTTTTGCCCATTCCAGATCCTGCACACCCCAACCTGTGCAGTCGTGAGGATTTGGTATCACTGGACACTGCCAATCCAACAGGACTTCTCTGTGTATTTATACAGAATTACAGATGCTTGCAGGAAGAGGAGAGAGTTTCATGGTGATCCTTGAGCAAACATTGATGAAGCCAGGAGCTCCTGCAGTTCAGCTTCCACCAGCACCACTAGAGCTTGTAGTGAAGGTGTGAGTGTGCTCAGAGGAAGATCATGTTTCTGGGTGGCCGTTTACAGTGTAATTGTGATAGTTATTTAGATACTCTGTAGTTGCTTTCTCCAAACTCATTCTCTGCAGTCACAGAAAATTATGCTGTGGAAGAGTGTATTCTTGTTCAAATCTTCCCTGATTTTAGTATCACCATGAGCATCCCTGAATATCCCGTCCCTGTTTTATTTTGGGTGACCCCCTTTCTCAGACAGAAGGTAAGTAGGAGAGGGCTGCACCAACTGCTGCTGTTGCATGTGCCTTGAACTAACTCGTGGTGTTTTCCTCTGCAGACCAGATGAACTGGGTCCTGGCCCATGGATAACACAAGACACAGCATTCAAGGACAGGTTGTCTGGTGAGTAGGTTTGATGCTTGGGTGACACTACCACGCACCTATACATAATTCCCAAACTGCTGCCCTCTGTAGAGTAATATACCTGGGCTGTAAATTGCACCCAGAGCATTAGAAGGAGAATTGGTTCAGCTCCCTAGTGGCCAGTGCAGACTGGGCATCCCAGCAACTGAGAAGAACAGAGTAGTTGGTGAAAGCAGCAACTGTGCTAAGGTCTGGGGAGTTAAAAATGGGTGTTTTTTCCTTCAGCAGTGCTCATCTATTTATTGGCTTGATTGTAATCACAGCTGCCTTAACTTGTAACTGATACTGTCCTCCCTGCAGCGTAGATGATGTTCGCTTGAGTATCAGATACTGCTGTCTGTGTTTGCTTTTGTTATCACCCACCATCAGCAGGTTTCTTTAAAAGACCAGCTCTGACCAGACACCAAGGAGAAAAGAGGGATTCGAGTTATCCTCTTCCCTGTGGCTGACCAGCTCCTTCCTGTCGCATAAACACCACAGAGAGCTGATTCTCCTAACCCTGGATGCAAATCCTTGTGGCACACCTGGCTCTCTTTGATCATGTATAATGTATCAGTGAGCATTCAGCAAAGCAGACACTCCCAATTAAATACAGCCTTCTAGGCACATGTCCTCTCTGTGCCTCTAACCCACAAGCCTTCATGGCTTTGAGAAGTCTGGTTGTATGCCTGAAGCTAAGGAGGCTGTGCTCAGACAGTGCCATGAATGGTGGTGTGACCTTGAGGGTATCTGGCCTGTCTGGACCTAGTGTGGGTGCAGTAAGTTAAGGCTGACAGCCTAAAAAAGCAAGTCTCAGTTGCTTCAGGGACTGGTTCTGGTTTGTAGCCATGGATCACTTGGAGAAGGGTGCCACATTATGACTTGTCTCCTGACTGCTAGTTTTAATGGCTTAGGGAGGGTAAGAGACGATGGTGGCCACTTCTTGACACCTGAGAAGAACACGCTCAGGTTGGCTGGGTGGCAGGGTGGTGGTCAATTCCACGCTAGGTCATTCTGGCAGGTAACCTCCAGAACATGCACCTGATAAGTGGTACCAAGGAACGGCCAATCTTATACGCGTTCAGCGCAATTCCCAGATCTCAAAAAAACAGGAGGATGGAGTTAAAGTATCCGTAGCTTAAGGGTAAGAAAATATATGGAATATAATGTTGCAACCCAAAAGGAAGTTCAGAGGTAAATCCAAATATGCTTGGATTTCCAGATGTAATTTAACTGTCTTGTAACGGTACCATGGGATCAAGGCACCGTGGTTAATTGTGATCGCAGAGGTGTCCCTGCAGAGAAACTCCAACCCCCTGCGGGCCGGGCCGAGGGTGCGGCAGTGGCGTTTGTGCAGCGCCCTGAAGGTCACCCCGCAAGGGCGGCTGCGGCTGTCGCGTGAGTCCTGTCTCCCCCCCGCCCTCCCGGCTCCGCTGCAGGGGACGGGCCCGTCCCGCCGCCCCCGGGGAGCCCCTGCCCGGTCGCCCCTCCTGCAGATGCTCCCAGCGCCCGGTCGGCGGAGCGGGGCCGGGAGGGCAGCGCTGTTTGCGGTCGGTGTTCCGCAGCCGCGCTGCACGTGAGCCCGGCGGAGCGCGGCGGGGCCGGCGGCTCGTGCGGGGCCGCCAGGAGCAGAGCAGGAGCAGAGCAGGAGGAGGGGAGGGAGCGAGGGGATGCTCAGCAGCGCCCGGCCGATCTCCTCCGCCGCGCGGAGCCGGGACCGGCATGGAGCGGGAGGGGCGGGAACGCCGGGAACAGGCGGGCACGTGCGCGGGACCGCGCGCTCAGGTGTGCGGGCGCGCGCGCTCACACGCGCGCGTGCAGCCACGGCCGGCGAGGGGCGCGTGCCCATGTCTCCCGAGGGCGCGCGCCCCCGGGCACGCGCATTAACGGCCACACCGGCACAGACGGGCACAGACGGGCACAGAGCCTCTCCTCCCCGCCGCAACCCGGCCCGGCGGGGCAGAGCTCGGGTGCGCGGCGGGGCAGCCGGCACCGACCCACGCTGCCGGTGCCGCTGCCAGTGCCGCTGCCGCAGATCCCCTCCCGCTTCCGTCCTGCCGCCGCTCCCGCCGCCGCCGCGCTCCCAGCGCGCCCCGCCCGGCCCCGGGGCCCGCCCCACCCGCGGCAGACCCTCCTCCGGAGCATCGGCGGGCGCGCATTGGCAGGGCGGCGGGCGGGGCGGAGCCCGCGGTGTATATGAAGGGGCGCGGCGCGGGGAGCGCGGCTGCTCCGTGTCCCGTGTGCTCCGCCGCGCTCCCCCCAGCGCTCTCGCGTCCCCCCGGCCGCTCCCCTGCTCTGCCCCGCCGGGCCGGCGCCGCCGGGGCGGGCGCACCCACCCGCACCTTCCTGGTGCCGCGGAGCCCGGCCGGGCCCTGCCCCCTCCACCCCCGAGGGCTGTAGACCTCTCCACGCCGCTCGCCCGCCCCGCCGCTCGCCATGGCCCGCGGGAAGGCCAAGGACGCCGACGGCGACTGGAAGAAATTCATCTGGAACTCGGAAAAGAAGGAGCTTCTGGGCCGCACCGGGGGCAGCTGGTGTGAGTGCGGGGCCGGGGGGCGGCGATGCGGCGGGCGCTGCAGCACGGCCCCGGCGCTCCGCCTCCGCCGGCTGCGGCGGGGCTGCGGCCGGGGCGGGGGCTGGGGACGGGGCGTCCCCGCGGGGCGAGGGAGGGAGGGACGGGGTGCCCCTGCCCGCTCCCCTCGGTGCCCCGTGGGGCCACGTGGGGGCCGGCGGGCGCTGCCCCCGAGTGCGGCTCCAGGTGGGGCCGGGGGTGAGGCAGGGTCGGGCCGACCTTGTCCGAGGGCGCCTCGTCCTTGGGTCTCCTTCCTTTCCCGGCGGCTGGCCCGGCCCGGGAGCATCGCCGTCGGGGGAACCTGACCTCCTAGCCCTCATCTGCTTTAGACCGCACAGTGGCTCTTTTTTTTTTTTTTTTTTTTTTTAATATTTTCTCTGGATAAATGAAACCCAACGAGTTTTACTCCGTCGAGAGGTAGCAATTGACTTTTAATGTCTCCTCAAGAAGGAAATGGCTCTATGTGCATTCCTGATTATGTGCTCATGATGTATTCCGTGGGTGCTGTACAAATACCATTTAGACTAAAGAGGCTTTTAACAATTTCTTTATGCAAATAGACAGTCTTCCAGTTGCTGCCAACCACAGCTGCTGTTGCCACCCTTACGATGTTGAATTCAGCTCCTGTTGTAGTGGATCAGCCGGAGATGCCACATCCAGAGCCGCCAGCTCTGGCGGGCGGACTAGAGCAGGCATCTGCCGTATCTTTACGTGAGCAGAATTGGGTTGTGGGTGCGCATGGATAGGTATTTTCTGCTCCTGAGGCACCAGGCAACTGCGCAGTGCTTCAAACGCGGAGGCTGAACCAGGTCCTTCTCCCAGAGTGCCCGTACCTATCCGCCTAGGACTGATTTGCATTTGCTGAGTCGATCTGCAGGCTGATGATCAGATTCTTCTGTTATAAGCCTACCTGTTGCAGGAGGCTTTCTCGTTCAACCCTGTGGTGCTCGATTCCTAGACCCACTGCGTTTTTTCTGAGACCTTGGGATGGTTTTGACCTTTAAGGTGTCTTTGGCGTTTAGAGCATCCTGGCTGGAAACCTGATTAAATAAGCTACCTCCCAGCGTTTACCTTTTGATGTTACAAAACTCAAAGGCATTACGCTGCAGACAACAGAATTAGTGTTTGGTTTGTTACAACAGCACCTCCTATGACCGTGCTCTGGAAAAAATTTCCACACGTCCCTGACGTCACGGCCATTTGCTTTACGCTGCCTGGATACCAAAGAGTGCTTTAACTCCTGGAGCACCACGTTACTTCACCCAGCTCTGCCCTCCAGCCCTGGCTGCCTCCTCTACCTCTGGTGCACAAGAGGAAGACGAGAGGATGGAGTGCCTTTCTGACTGTCCCTCAGCCTCTGTGTTGCTGGCTGTCCCTCCTGCTTGCCTGTCTTTCATAGACTTTAAACGACCAGAACAGCCAGCTTTCATTGTGAGGCTTCTCCAGTGAGGTAGCGCTGCTTTTTTTTTTTTTTTTTGTTTTTATGATGGGGCTGGGGAGTGAGGAGGAATACTTCTACCTACTGCTTCCTCCCCTTCCCTTGTCACTCATCACTTCAGGTCCTTCAAATAAACCAAGTCTGTTTTGTTTGTAACTAGATGAGGACAGTCTGAGACCAAGCAAGCTCATTCTCAAGTACTCTTTGGCTTCTGCTTTTTCCTGCAGCCTGATTAGCATATAGTTGCTTGGCATGGGCTGGTTTATCCTTGTAGGCAGCCTGGTGATGTGTAGTACGGCATGTTACTGTGCAGTTAAGCAGTTGAGATAATCCTTGTAAACTGGTAACTGATACCCAGAGTCTGAGCCATCCTGCATCTCCAGACTCTTCTCCTTGTTCTTCCCTCTGCCCCTCCACTCCAAGATTGTTCTAGACATTCCCTTTAGACCAAAACTACATCCAGTCTTTCATTATTACGTAATTAACTCTTTAATTGGTGTTACCAGTGCCAGAGTGCCTTTGTAGGCACACAAGGCTGGTGAATCTGCAGTACTGTGACATGTTATGAATACTTTCCTACATATGAGGTGAAGTAGTGGAGCTAATTTGGGCCTGAATTCTGTTTCTGTTGTCTTTATTGAAGGTGACAGCTTGAATTACTAGGAGGGATCAGGCTTTACAACTGCTTGTAAACCTGAATGAAACATTTACTGTTACTGCTCCCAAAAATAGCTTTGAACCCCAAGCACACCCATGATATGACCTTTTGCTCTTGGGCACCTGGATCACTGACAGTCTGTCAGCTGCAAGAACCCACTACGGTAGTTCTGGGTCAGCCAAGGGATCCTTGAAAATATGAGGGAATGTGGTTTAGTCTTTTATAATCCCAAATCCTGATTCATGGATTTCTAGATTTTTAGGGGCTCATGCTTCCTGTCCCCTAAACAACTGGAGTGATTTACATTTCCTGTCTGCATCAGGACATAATCTCACTGTTACCTATATATCTTTTGAACATCTGAATTCAGTGTGCTGGCTCTTCCTTTCAGGTGGCAAAGGTGGGAAATTCTGTCCTGAAACGTGACTGCTGTGAGGGCTTGATTTGATTCCTCTTTCTGTTTGTTTTCTCTTGCAGTTAAGATCCTCCTCTTCTATGTCATCTTCTACGGTTGCCTGGCAGGTATATTCATTGGGACCATCCAAGTGATGTTGCTCACTGTCAGTGAATTTGAGCCCAAATATCAGGATCGAGTGGCACCTCCAGGTAACTAAATAGGAGGCCTGTGTTTGACTTGGTGCAAGCTGTTCTGGGGAGGCGGGGTTGGTTACTCACCTCAAGAAGGAGGATGAAATAAGCATGTCGTTGCTGCAACACATATTTGTAGGGGGTGGGTATGTTCTCAGCCTTCTGTGTTAGCAGTACTGGGGCTTGAAGGCAATCCTGCTAGAATTAAAGGTTGCATCACATGAAAAATGTCTCCTCTCCGAGAGGAACTTAAACTTGGTTTGCTTTTCCCTTCCCCTGTGCCAAAATGATGGAGTGAGGCTAAGAGGCTTCACTTTTGGGAACTGGCTGTATGAGGAAGCTAAGTTCGGGTTTTTTTCTTCATAACTACTCTGTTTCACTGTGGGTAAGTGAAAGGGACAAAGGTAAAATTTTGTTTGTTTGTTTGTTTGGTTTTTTGGTGGTTTTTTTTTTTTGTTTGTTTGTTTTTTTGGGTGGAACTGGCATGCTCAAGGAGAAAGAGGGCAATCCCAGTTCTGGGTGTGCTTACTGACTTGTTTTATCCAACACTGAACTACAGTGTGTGATCTAGAGGTGGGGTAGCCTCCACTAGTGGGTATTTCAGTGGACTGTGTCGTGGGAGGTTAAAGGTGGGTCTTTTAGCTGCTAATATATGACCTGTCTTTACATAGACAAAAGAAATCTCTACTCGAAATTAAAATGATGGCCTTCGCAGTGTCTGTGGCCAACCTGCCTCGGGTGGGGGCAAATGGAGTGAGTAGCCCTTGCCGCAGGTTCCCTGCTCCGCCTGTCCAGGCCGCGCTGCGCTATCCGATCCCCGCCGCAGCCAGCGGCGGCTCAGAGCGCGGGGGGGAGCTGCGCAACTGCTGCTTTCCCACATTACAAATGACCTTGAGGCTGCTTGGCACTGGGGTTCCTAACGATCCGTCTCCAGTTGCTCTGTAAAACAGTTCAGAAGCTTTTAATAACAGTGGTATTTAAGTGACAATTGTGAGGCTGATGGCTTGTAGCTACAGAAGTTGGCTCTGGTGCTGCACTGTGTCTTGCAGCCCTGCCGTCTGCAGTGCTGTGAATCTCTGCCCTAAACACGGGGAATGAATGTCGCCATCACCAAATGGTGTTATATCTCAGCAAAGGATCATCTTTTGCAAATAAATGCTTTTCCACCATCACTTTTTAAAGACACAACAGAGACTGGAACTGCTGTGTTAGTTAGTGCGTGGCACTTCTTTATGTACCTCCATGGCTGGGGTAAATGCAGCCTTAAGCACTGAAAGTGGTCGTTTCATCTCTAGTCGACCCTGACATTTGCAGGAAAGACTGTCACTGATAGTGCCCAGAGACATTAGCTGCATCTGAAAAGCCAACATGGCTAATGGTGGGGTAGTTGTTACTTAATAACATATTTTTCCCCGGCTGAAGTCCAGTGGTCTCACCAGACATGAAATAATTAGCAAAGAAGCCCATGGATCTTGGGTCTCATCCAGATAGACCTGCTGTTTAGCCAGATGTCACATAATTACTCATTCTAAATAAACTGTTTGCTTTCTGTGAAGTAGCAGTTTGCAATTCCAATTTCAAAGCAACTCTGGTAAAATTTCTGTGAAAGACTTCAGCCTACAGAGAACATTTATTCATCTCTTAATTGTATACTGCACTGGTTTTTCTGGGGCTTTTTTTTTTTTTTTTCCTAAACAAAGAAAAGGAATTGAATTTCAAGACGCTCTTGTAGCGTGTACTGCAGGAATCAAAATGGAGGAACAATGAAAAGGTTCTTGGGGATCTTTCGTAATGGGCTTTTAGGACATGTACTGAAATCAAGGAGAATGAAATCCAGCTCCCTAAATACATGACAGTGGGCAGCCAGTAAACAAGGGCTTTGAACCAAGCTGCAATGTCACATGCATACAACTTCAAGGAAATAATAATTAGATTAATAACGCTGGGCCCTTTCAGCAGGGCATCATGCGACAGCTTTTTCTACAGATGTGGACAAGCTGAGTATAAGGCATGGTGCGGGCTGGCTCTTTATGTCCAGTATGTTCCTTGTCCTGTAGCACAGCAGCCGTTAGGCCACAAGTCAAAAATAGCCCTTTGATGTAGGCTTTCAGAGAGCTGGACAAGGTAGCGAGTTGCTGCACTGCTGTCTTTGGGAGGTCAGCAATGCCTATATTCCCCTGTGCTGCAAGCACAACTGCTGCTCTGACAGGGTTCTCTGCTGTACTTGGTGAGCACCAAACTGGAATTTTTTGTGATTTAAGACATCTGTAGATGATTAACTGTATAAAATAGGATGTTGTGCAATTCTAATTCCTAGTTCTTGTGGGAAAATTTGCAAGCCGAGTAAGTATACTGGCAGCTTGATAAAGCCCTGGATTTTCTAGGAAGCCAGAAAACCTGGTTTTATTCTTGTTAGAGTGCTCTGTACTTCTTGGGCAAGTCCCTGTTGTGTCAGCCCAGAATATCTGAGAAAGGGGAAACTAGACTTCCCTTTGAGGTTTGCAGGAAAAAATGCTGTAGGGGCTGCTAGAATATCATTCTTGTTCTGAAATACAACAGATTTCATAACAGCAACAGAACCTACAGGGTGTTTTATTGAGTTATTGACATGGGTATAACATTGAAAGCCATAAAGCGCTATTTTTGTAGCCAAGTGTCATTAATATGGTAATTGGTTTCTGCATTGAACACAACAGGAATGTTATGCAGGGCTTCAGGGCAAGCTGAGTATTGTACCTTTCCATTATACTATTTTTTTCCTTCTTTTGTCTTGTGGTGGGGGAAGGGATGGTGCAGTTCACCTTGTCCAGGCCTGCCACTGCGACAGCCCCGCCTCCCAGTTCCACGTGCGCTGCAGGCTCAGACTCTGCTTTAAGCACAGAGGACTTACCCTGCTAATAGGGAAGGATGAGGATATTGCCTCTTAAACAGTGTACTGAGTGTTTAAAAAATAATTCTCCTCCCCTTCCCCATCCCAATAAAAATTGGGCTGTGTATTCTGCCATCTTGTGGCGCACATCCCGTGGAACAGCATCTGGTTATCCCATCACTGGGGCTGGCATTAGGACAGAGCTCACTGCTGCCTGAGGCACTTTGTAAGTGGTGGCTGGAAGAAAGAATCCCTGGTCCTGCCAGGGGATTTCAGGTCTCCCTGCTTCAAGTGCTGCCTGGGCCGTGAGTGCGTCATGGAAAAGGCTTCTCTGGTACGTGTCCCCCACTTGGTTTATTTAGCATGGAGAGCAGCAGGCAGGTGGCAGGAAGGCCTCAAAGGAGCATGTGCTCCCTCCTGTGAAGTTGCACTTCTTTGCCTCTCTCTCTTGTTGTCTCAGCACCTATGCTTGGAAAAATCTCTGAATCTCAGCTCCAGGGATGTTACTATCAAGCAGGTTTTGCTGTGTTTGTAGAACACTTGCACCTGCTTTTTGCACTTTGGGGATGAAGTAGAGGGTGACTGGAAGCTGGGAAGGACATTGCTTGGTATGGAGGCTTTTAAAATCTATCCTCATTTAGTGAGTTGGTGGGGGGAAGTGAGATGTAGTGATCCCTCAATTTGTCATCTGTGTCATCCCAGGAGTGTTCAGACGAATTCTGAACCAAGATTACATGGTACTTAAAATGACCATTGTATCATGAAGCAAAAGAGGTTACTATGGACTTATACAACCATTCCTAATAACAAGCCTCACTTCCCACTATTAGTTTCTTTCTCTTCACCCTCAGGACACATTCACCTCAAGTCTTACTCTTACAGCTTAAAATGATAAAATCTATGTGGAGAATTGTTTTTTAAATGAACTTGAATAAAGGTGATTTTAATCTGCAAAAGTGTTTTGAAAGTGGAACTGTAACTGGGGAAAAAAAAACCCAAATAAACCACCACAGGACTTTACATGGGGTTTTTTGGTGTTTCATATCCTTATATATTCACAGACAGCCAACAGAAAGTGGTGTCCATTACCAAGTCAAGGCATCACTCATCATTTATGTGGGCAATGTCAGTCAAATGAAGATGGGAATCATATTTTCCAGCAAGAAACTCTTAAGAACCAATTGCAGCAATTTTCTAGTTTCAGTATTTTAGCAATAAGTTGATTCTTTCCTGTGGGAGGAAGAGCATTGCCACATGATGACACCACTGTGCATCTCTGTGGTAATAACGTGAGACATGGAACTGTGTACATACATTGCAGTCTGAAGGTGGGGGGAGAGGGTTTAAACTCTTGGCTGTGAAAGCACTTGAGGCTTTGTTTCTTTTCTTCCATGGGACTTCCTCATGTGCATGAAAGCCCTTAAGAGCTTCATTCATGCTGGTAACTCACTGGAGCCACACACTTACTTGGATGTCTAGCAGCCCATGTGAGGTAGCACTCTAATGGCTCAGCTTAGTAATTTTTTTTTTCTTGTCCCTACTTGCTTCAGTTACCTAGTGGGGGTGATTGTTCCAGAAAGGTTAGTGTTCTGCAGAGGTTACCTTCTGTCATCATACAACACACTTGTTTTTTTACACAAGATTGCTTAAGAAGAATTCAATGATTGTGCTGCTCTGATAACAGCACTGAAGCTTTTATTTTGGCTATGGGATGTACAGATGGAAAACAAGGAAGTAATAAATCACTGCTTAGGGCTCTACATTCAGTCAGTTACAGGTATTTCAGAAGGGAGGGTGTGGTGGAAGCCAGTAAGTAATAACTTTATCCTAATTTTACAAATGTATTTTTCATGACAAGTCTTTCAAGTAAATCAGGAAGATTTACTTCCTTGCTTTGTAAGTGGAAGATTGATCGATCTCCACTTTGCTCTTGCCCTAAACAAAGAGAGCACTGCTGTACCAAAGCCTCATCTAGTCTGGTTCATCAGAGTACCTGGAAATGCTCCCAGCTAGGCAGAAAGCAGCCCAGCGATGGCCACAGGTTACTTGGCAGGAATGGTGGTTTCCTTGTGCTGGCCACTGGAAGAGCTGTGTGGTGGTACTGCCTGGACTTCAGTGCAGTTCTGTGAAGACTTGCAGGACAGGAATGCTTTGGGATGGGAGTCTGTTCTCCCAGCCAAGTCATTTGTCCATGGGCAGAGGACTGGCTTTGGACTATACCTGTCAGTGGCCGGGTTCTAAAGAGAGAACAGGGATGTTGTGGGTGGCTTTTACAGACCACAGGGTGTGTATTGCTGACCTTCACTTCACCTTCGCCAGGCCTGTGTGGGTGTCCTTATGTGTTACCTTGGCCAAGACAGGAAAGAGATGTGGGGAAGTGCTGAGCAAAACTAACAGCTTAATTTGCCTGACCAAGCTTAACAAGCCTGGCCACGGTTTCTTGATTTCTGCCGCCCCCCCCCCCACGTATTCATTTGAATGACACACCTGTAACTTGAACTCTGGAAAAGGCAGACCCAGGAGAGTACCCAAGGTCTGGCCTGCCTCTCCTGCAATTCTAGACAGCCATTTCAGGTGACTCTGAGCCTGTTGCTTCCCAGCTGGGTGGTAATGTGAGAAGGGCTTGGCAGGACGGGATTTAAGTCCCTTACTAAAATTGAATCTGGTGTATTTATATGACTGTTTGTGAAGCAAGGAAATAAGTAATTGCTTGAAAGGGGGTTGAAAGCTACTGACTTTGGAAGGCAGGATGTAATTCTGCTAGTAGAACAGTAAGTTGCTTCTAAACTCAGCCTGGTCGGTTTGTATCAGAGGGAGTTCCAGGCAGTTAAAGCTGCTTCATGGAATACAATGGGAAGCACCTGAGCTCCTTGCTGGATGTCTCGCAATCTTAAGTGACCAGGAACTGTGTTTAGGGGGACAAAGCTAATCTTTGTCCTAGGTTACAAATTCCAAGTTAGTGGGTAGTGGAGGGGGGGCAGGTAGGGGGAGTGGTGAGTTGGTTTGAGGAGGGACTAAGCAGAAGCACTTAACTAGCTTCGGAAAAATTGCTGGAGTCACAAGCTCTGGTGGGTTGGGGCCAACCAGCTAAGCTGCCGGTGTTTTGCACCAGAGGAACTTGTTGGCAACAGGCCTGTTCTGAAAGCTGTCAAAGCAAATGCTGCTCCCCTGTTTCTTTTCTTGATCTTACTAAAATGAAGATGACAAACTGAAATGAAGTCAAGACCTCAATATTTACTGTGGCTGCCACAAAAGCAGCATGAACTCCGTTCCCATTACTTAAGTTTTAAAGTGTTAGCCATGTGTCAATCCATTCAATTAAAATGTGACCTAAATATTGCGCAGGAGCAACTACTTCCAAGTTCCACAACGAAGGGCAAAGGAGTTTGTGCTTTTCATCATCTGTAGGCTTTTCTTGTCTATAGTCCCATCTCTTTTCCATGCATTATTTTTCTATTCATCCTCCTAAAGTCTAAAGCAGAGCCAGTCAATACAGCTCAGAATCTGGAGAGTCTTTTAAACAAACTCTCCTGTGTGGTGGCATTTCCTACTCATCTACTTGGTGATGAGCTTCTGATGAGAGAGCTCAGAAGATGAGTTCTGCAGCCAGAAATACCCACTTATGCAGTGAGAAGAGTGGAGGCAGTGATCAGGCTGATGAATTTACTGAGGGAGAAAATGTCTCCTGCCCTGCATCCTACAAGACTACACAAAGGCAATGTGGATTACAGCTAGCAGAGAGTGACCTGACTTGGGGAACTTCTCTTGTCTTTTATTGCAAGGGTTTATGATGGACGGCTCAGATGTAGCCTAAACACAGTGTGTTTTGCAGGATTTTAAGTCAACCTGTTAGGGATATGTACATTCTGTGTGGTTGGTCTTACATGCAGACACCTTCCCTTCTGTCCTTGCGGAGGAGGCAGAAGTGCACAGTGGACCTGTGGTTAACTGTTTTTCTTGAGGAGGGCCTTGACTTGTAGCCTCCCTTCTGTATTTTGTGGGTTTTGTCTGCTTACCTGATGCAAACATTGTGATAAATATGCAAGATTGTTGTTAGAAAGAGGAGATAAGAACTTCTCTAGTGAACTCAAGCTGTTTTGTCAAAGTTCTTAAGTCTGAAAAACAGAGATGATTATTATTAGGAGTTATGTTCTTGGTGTGCATTGTATTGCCTGAAGGCTGCATAACCCTAAGGTGTACTTAATGTTTTCTTCCTGATTTTGCTTTTCTTAGGACTGACTCAAGTCCCCCAGGTTCAAAAGACAGAAATTTCCTTTACTACCTCTGATCCCAAAAGTTACGATCCATATGTAAGGAACCTTGAGAATTTCTTAAAGGACTACAGTGCTGATCAACAAACCGAAAACATAGTGTTTCAGGACTGTGGGGGTAAGTCTCAATTATTTCCTATAGGATTCTGACTGATGCCTCTCTGTCAGGTTTACCAGAAGCTGAGAGTGAGCAGTGGTCAGCTTGGTCTTCAGCTGTTCCCTTTACTGCAGCCAGAGGCATGCTGGTAAACTGGCAGGTTCTGGTTTCAGTCATATGGCTACTCATTAATGTTGTTTGGAAAGGACAGACCACAGCTTATTGTAGAGGTTATATGGCTGGGAGCTCCCACACTTCACTTGGAGAAAGTTGCAGCTGACTCTCTGAAGTACGTGGTGCTGACCTTATCCTCTCTGAAAGCCATGGGGGTTTTACTCACAACTTTGTTAAACCCAGTGTTGGTCCTCTTGATGAGATGCAGCCAAACATCTGGGAAGTGTTAACCTTTAATAGGTTATATGTAATCACGTAAATGAGACTATCACCTCATATAATATGTGCATATCAAATCTGAGGGGAACCTGCTTGTAAAAAAAAAAAAATATCTCTGAGCCAGGTGATTTCAAATGTGATTTCAAACCTTGCGTTCTGGAAGAATCCTCAGTTATAAACCCAAACCCTTTAAACATTCTGATCTGGGGCTAGCCCCCATGTGGCGGGCAGCTGTGCGTACGTCTGTGGTGTCACTTAACTGCCTGGGCGAGGGGGAAATCCAGACTACACTGGGAAGTCTAAACATTTCTGTTCCTGATAAGCAAAAGATTACATTTTGCATATGGTTTCTTTGTCATTCCCCTGCTGTGACAGACACACCTTCTGACTACAAAGAGAGAGGACCATATAATGATGTCCAGGGTCAGAAGAAGGTCTGCAAATTCAAACGTGAATGGCTGGAAAACTGTTCTGGATTAAGCGATCCCACCTTTGGGTACAGGGAGGGCAAACCATGCATCCTCGTCAAGCTCAACAGAATTATTGGCTTCAAACCTCAGGCAAGTATCTCTTCCCTTTCTATCAGAAGCTACTGATCAGGAGGAGGAGCTGGCTGCAGATTTGCTGTGCCCGCTATTGGGTTTCTGGAAAGAGATCAGTATCAAGCCTTTTCTGCAGAGGATAAATTGTGAGACTATTTAAGTAATTGAGTTTAAAAACACTTTTCATTAAAAAGCAGTGAAAACTGTGCACTTCAAGATGGTAACAAGTAGCAGTGAACCTTACTGTACAACTTCCCGGTTATTGAGCAGGTAACTTCTGAGCCTACTAATGAAGTTCCTGTAACAGGGTGTTTTGTTCAAACCATAAGCCCCATTTTAAATTACTGTATGCTTCCATGGGATCATCCTAGACCAACTCTATCTGTTGTAACATCAGTACATTGTGTCATGCCCTGATCCACTCCATTCTTTCCTCAGGCAGCGTAGACTTGTCTGCCTTGCTAAAACTGCTTAATTAAATGATGAAGTGCTAATATTAACAACCAGACAGAAACCCAGGCTATAAAGAGTAAACTACATTTGAAAGTCAGGCACAACTGCAAGAACAATGAGGAGGTCTATAGGTTATTTAATGTGATTTCCCAGAGGCTATAAGATGTCTCTGTCACCTGGTTGCTCTTTGCTGCACCTGAAGGCAAATTTGCAGTAATGCTGAGGGATGTTAATCTGGACATGCATGGCTTTTACTTCTGGGTTTTTTTTTTCCCTAATACATTTGGATGCAAAAATTTCTTCAAGAATTCAATGTCAAAGCATGTGCTGTTGAATAAGGTGGTGTGCAAAACCTGCCACTCCATCTTCTGGATGGAGAACGGTGCAAATGGCGTGCTACACTGCCTTCACTACCATCTGTCAGAGCAGTCAAGGACAGGGAATGGTGCAGTCTAGCTAACAAGTCCTGGGGAACATTTTTCTTCTAGTGGAACCTGTCCCATGATAAAACAAATGAGTTTAATTCTGTTTTATCTGATTTGTGGTGAAAACAGTCAGTGAATTTGAGAAGGAATCTGCTGTGCTTGGTCTGTGGTGGCTGTGGGATGACATGAGATGTGCACATTTGATGGCTGGGGAAGTGAAGGGTTTGGTGTGTTCCTCTTTTCTTTGCTGTGGAGCTGTGGAAAGCTCCAGACTGTATTAGACAGGAGGCTCTAGTCAAGGAATGACTTTACATGTTTCATTTAAAAATGATATGTGTATCCAAGGCAGTCTTTGTATTCCTCATTACAGGCTCCAGCAGGGACACTGTAACTCTTGTGTTGGGCAAGGTGTGTGTAAAGCAGATCTGAAGCTGCGAGGTTGTCAAGCAAAACTACTGCACTTAAAGAGACCAAAGACCAACTGGGTTAATGGTTGGGCTATCAGTGTTGCCCTGACACCCAGAGCTTTTGTCCTTCCTTGTAGGTGGTGTCGAAGTTCAGCAATGTCAGCGTGTGACTCCCACTCTTTGTTCTTTCTTATGCATTTCCAGTCCTGACTGCACACACTTGGCAGGCAGGTGGCCAATCCTCCACAGTGCATCTTTTCCTGCCACTGCTTGAGCTTTGCACAAACAAGCTCTGCTAGCTATAGGCACTCTGTGGTGAAGCGCTTACCCCAGTGGCACTATGGAATTAAAAACAGACTTACCTGTTTGTATCCGGAGCAGGTAAAGCTGTAAGGACAGATAACAGTTCTGCTTGGGTTAAGTTCTTCTGGTTTTAGTTGTGTTATGCTATTTGTCTGTCCCAAGAACCACCAGGAGCTGTTGCCTCTGGAACTGTTCTAGAAAGGATTCCCTTTAACGCGTTCAGTTCTGCTGAGCTTTGCTGCTGCAAAGGTGCTCTGGTCTGCAGAGAAGTGTCCACTATGTAATGTCCCCTTGTTCTGGATTTCTTCTAGGCTCCAGAAAATGAAAGCCTCCCTGTGGAGGTTATGGCAAAATACAACCAGTATCTCATCCCTGTTCACTGCACTGCCAAGGTAAGTTGAAGTATAATAGAGCTGTGAAGCTGCAGGGGATGACTAAGTCTTTGTCCAAGTGTAGTTACCCCTCTCTGCCTTTCTACAGACAAATGGGATGGTTCTTGCTTGGGGTATCTTCCCCTCCAGAACAGAAGCTACTCAAAGTCCCACTGATGGATGAGTTTGTGCTGCCCTCACAGTGGAGGGTAAAAGCAGGGCCAGATAGCTAAAGGTATCCTCAAAAGTAGCCATTTTGCTTTCAAGTGCTGTGCTGAACCTGAAAAAGGGATTCCAGGAAAGAGATTTCATACTTGGCATTTGTAAAGCTGAGAAAGAGCAAATTTTAGCCGAAGATTGTACATGGATGCAATAGGAAGGTGTGGTGGTTTCCAATTGCATAAAGTGGCTGTGGTTTTAAATAAAGCAAGGCTCTTTTCCTGTCTGAGGTGTGCAGAAAGGTGCTTATTGTGTGTGAACCGATTAGATAGCTCTGACTTGTCCTCTCTACCACTGGGACATCTTCATGCTGCCAAGGTGGGGGTTAGTGATGACCAAAGCAGAGGTCAGAGTCTTGCTGGGAAACAAACACCGCTAGGGAAAAGGGCTGCCAAAGGAGGAGCGTGGGTGATTGTCATTGGTTGTGTTTCCTTTTCCCACCTTTAGCGAGAGGAAGATGCAGACAAAATAGGCACGGTGGAGTACTACGGGATGGGCGGCTTCCCCGGCTTTGGCCTGCAGTACTACCCCTACTACGGCAAACTGCTGCAGCCGCGGTACCTGCAGCCACTCGTGGCCGTGCAGTTCACCAACCTGACCTATGACATGGAGGTGCGCGTGGAGTGCAAGGCCTACGGCCAGAACATCGTCTACAGCGACAAGGACCGCTTCCAGGGACGCTTTGATATTAAATTTGACATAAAAAGCAGCTGATTGTAAGCACAACTCTCTTCCTCCCCCCTCCTCCTCCTCCTCCTCCTAGCCATTTAAAAAGGTTAAAAAAAAAAAAAAAAAAAGAACAAAAAAGAAAACCTACTAGTCTTGAACAAACTGTCATACGTATGGGACCTACACGTAATCTATATGCTTTACACTAGCTTTCTGCATTTACTAGGTTAGAATGTAAACAAAGTGTAGCAATAGCGACAAATATTTATTCTACTGTAAATGACAAAAGAAAACAAAATTGAGCCTTGGGACATGCCCATTTTTACTATAAATTATGATTCCATAACTGACTTGTAGTAAGCAGTGTTTCTGGCCCCTAAGTATTGCTGCCTTGTGTATTTTATTTAGTGTACAGTACTATAGGTGCATACTCTGGTCATTTTTCAAGCCATGTATTGTATCTGTTTTCTACTTCTTGTGAGCAAAGATTTTTGCTGTCCAAGGTGTAAATACTCAATGGGACTAGAACTGGCATGATACTTCTCATTATTTTGTTCCTTTTCAACGAAAGGCCCACCTGTGAGACGATATTTAACAGCACTCCATAAGGCTTCTGGCTTTTCTGTGGTGTTAGGGTATTTTATTTGGAGGGGTGGCAGGGGAAACTAACTTAAGTGAAGATAAAGAGAGTAGATGATTGTGTACTGTGCTTTGTAGCGAATGCTGTCTCTCCACCTCTTCCCTCATCCTCCAGTATGCTGTGTGAGAGACTGGGTCAGGCTATCACTTTACTTAGTGATAGGCATAACTCTTTGCTTTGTATATTTTCTTTTCTTTCTCTTTTTCTTTTTTTTTTTTTTTTTTCCTGCTGAAGGCATCGCACACTGTGGTGCTAATGTCTTTATTGAATGTTTTAGCCATTTTCATGGTGGAAGAATTTTATATTTATGCAGTTGTACAATTTTATTTTTTCTGCAAGAAAGTGTAATGTATGAAATAAACCAAAGTCACATGTTTGAAAATAAAACTTTATTTTAAACTTTATAAAAGCAATGCAGTACCCCATAGAATGGTGTTAAATGTTGTCTAAAGTGCAAAACTCTATGTTCTAACATGTAATAATAGCCAGGAGTACAGTGCTCTTGTTGATCTTGTATTTCAGTCAGGTTGAAAACATTGGACAAATAAATGAATGAACACACTGTTCTGTGTGCATGTCTTTTGCAGGGGGTAAGGATGGAGGCTGTTAGTTGTCCAGAATCTTGAAGAAGTACTGCACCTATTTCAAACAGAAAATACACCTTTATCAGTCCCAGCTGGTCTCAGTGGAAGGGAGTTGAAATATATGAAACATTGAGCTGTTACCCATTAGTGCTGGTGTCCATTAGTTACTTGTTTTCCCCTCTCCCGGTCATGGATTAGAGGCTGCTGAGGCCATACCTGTCAGGAACCCAAGAAGTCCCTTCCCCATTACTACACGCTCTCCACATCTGGAGGCATAGGCCATGTGTTCTGGCCATAACCACAAGTAAAATGGTTGATCCTCAGTGCAGCTTAAAGCTTCCTGCACCAGTGTGTGCTGTGCAGCCAGAAGGGAGGGTGCACGCTGAGGTCACGAGAGTTTCACGGCGGCAACTTGCAGTGTGTTGCTGTTGGGCCAGTGGCCAGCACTGAGGACAGGCTGTGCCTGATGGGGCTGCTCAGATGTGACGAAACATGGCAGCTGGCTTCCTGCAGGAGTCAGGCTCACTTTATGCTGCATGATGCAGATTACGGGAAGAATTTCTCCGTGTAAAGTGGCAAAACATGACTACCCTAGAGCAAGCAGCTTGATAAAGACTTCCTAATCTAAACACGTAATACTGGAAAAGCAAGATGCTAAGCTTTTTGCCATTTGCTAGAAGGAAAAGCCTGGTTTCAGTACAGGCCATGCTGGTTTCTGCATTCCTTAAGCTGTTTCATGTTGTTCCCAAGGAGCAGGTGCTGGCAGAAATTGCACTTCAGTTGTTTCATTTGCTGCTCTGTGTTTATAGCAAGGCAAGGACTTAACAAAGAAGCCGTGAGGAAAGCTCTACAATATTCCCTGATGGAAGCTCCACCTGCAACACGAGCTTCAGGAAAGCTGAGCCATTTTGATGGGTTCCTCCTGCCACCATTTTGGGTGGGGAGTTGGGGGTGTTGCTGCATGGCTCAACATTTGGTAGGATCAACTGTCCCTACGATTCAATTCTTAAATGCACAGTTAATAAAACACCACCAACACAACAACAAAAAAACCCCCAAACCAATCAACCAACCAAAATAAACCAAAAAAAGCCCTAACTGCTTTATTTATATAAGACCCAAGTCATGGTTAGCTAATTTATCTCCTTTTAATTTTCTCTGTGAGTGCAAAGTCTAAGCACAAATTAATAAAGACAGTGGCTTATTCCAGGGGTTGGGACAAACACTGTGGAACACTTACAGTGCTTGTGTTGGCTTCAGTCAGCAACTGTCAAAAAGGTCTTAGGAACTGCATATGAAATTAAGCAAAAACAAACTTCTACCCAACAACCCCCCACAATCACTTTCTTGTACCACATCAGTGAAAGCAGGATGGCTGCTCAGATCACTAATTAACCAGGCAGAAGGGCAGTAGCTACCCCAACCACATGCCTGGTAGCCGCTCACTGAAAAGACTCACCTGTTCAGAGGCTTCATGACAACTCTGATACCAAAGGACCGCACCCCAACACCCCCCGCAAAAGACACACAGCCCACATGGTCAGATATATCCCTCTCCCCCATTAGAAATGCTGCAGTAATTTGTCAGACTTGGCTGAGATAAAGCACTAAAAGGCCGCAGGGTTATTTAAAAAAAAAATCCCAAACAACCAAAGTCCAAAAAAAAAAAACCTCACCCCACCCCTGAGACAAGCAGGTGTAGACTCTAGGCTGAACAACCAGCTTGCCCAGTGGCACCAGTACTTTTGGGACACAACAGCCTTGATACTAAAATGACCTTTCACAAACTGGCACTGACATAATCTTGCTGGGCTAAGTGGCTGATCAACAGCCTGGAGGGCTTCAGGCGGGAGAGGGGGTCAAGATGTGACATCTCATCAACCCAATTTGAAATGTGCTTTGCCATCAAGACTTTTAATATGTGGTATATTGTCTGTAAAACCCTAGTGTCCTCAGAAAGGCATCACTTTCCTTACTGCCTAATAGAACATTATGTTATAAACTGCCAGTTTGAACATGTTGTTCTTTCTGCCAGATTGGCTCAGCATAGTAAAGAATAATTGCAGCTATTAAAGTGAATTTTATCTCCCTTCTTGTTATATGGGACACCTGCATTTCATAGTTAAGAGACACACACAAAACCACTAGTTAAGATAAAAAGGGAGAGAGAGAGAGAGAGAGTGAGATTTAACTACAAAAGCCTTTAAGGATGTGTCTGTACGAACACTTGCACTAACACACACCAGCTACCAGTTTTACAGCTCTGAGCACTGGCACTTCTGGGCTTCTGTTCCCAGCTTGGCCCAGGGCAGCTGGCCAGAACAGGCCGGGCACGACCCTCAGCGTGTGTGGGGAGCTGTGCCAACAGGAATGAAAAAGGCCAAGTGCAGTGGAATTTGCTCCTTTGTGGGTAATAACTCCGTGTCCAGCCTCAGCCTGGGGTGCTGATAAAACTGCTGCCACCACAGCCCATTTCCCTGCCATGGGGCAGGTTTAATAGAGCTGAGTCAACCCCCACCCTTGCCTGGACTGCCTTGACCAGAGCTGCGTGTCTTCCCTTGGGGTTAGTCGTGATCTGCGCCTGCAGCATGCACTGACACAGGTGAATGCTGTCCTTGCCCAACATCTGCTCACCTGCCTTTAGCAACAAAGGCGTTGCTCTATTTTACTTCCTAAAGGCCCTGGATTTTGTGCAATCAATTTTCCCAGGCCAGGCTGAACAACTCAGCTTACTTACAACCTGTGCAAAACCTCTTCCTCCTCAATTAGTTGTTGAAGATCCACACAGACTGTACTGGCAAGGCTCAGACATCAGAACAAGCACACTGTGGATCGTATACTGTGCAAACTAGATGCTGGTATAATTATCTTTATGTGGGTCAGCCACCACCCAGCTCCCAGCAAAACCACTTAAGAGCTGGCATACCTGTGGTACACAGGAAGAATCCTTCTCTCCAAGAACCTCACCCTCGGGAGCATGACAGTGCTGAACAAGAACCACCAGAACTTACCCACTCACATGACAACATGTATGCTGTTATGCAGAAGAACCAAGACCAAGGATTTCAATATTACCAAGAGATTTGAGGTGCCCCAAGTTATGAGGCCCCTGCTGAGACAGCCTGAAGAACACTCATTCTGAAAGCACCAGGTCTTTTTCCAAGGGGATCTAGAACTTGAAGATACTTGCATGGAGCATCCAGATGGGGGTTAGGCATTTCAAAGTACTCCATATTTTAGGAAATACAGTTACTGTCTTTGCTAGGGTCTGAGCACATTACAAACCATAAAAAAGGGAGCTGTGCCTGTACAAAACAACAAGCCTCACATTTTACCACAGGCAAGGTCAGCCTCTCTGAGCCTCGCGTACCTCTGGTCTCTTTACAGGACCCAAGGATGGCAGAGCACAAATCCAGACCAGGAACAGATCCAAAACCAATCCAATGCATTTCACAGATGCCACCCAAATGCCTTTCATGTTCAGGTGTGCTCACTCCTTCCCAGGGATGAGATAGGATTAAATTTAACATCAATACTCCTCTTACAGGTCCCAGGAACCATCTACCTGCTTTACAGCATTACAGCTATGCCCTCTCTAGCTCCTGTTCAGGGACAAATAGCAATAATGCTCAGGAAGTATCAACGGGTGAATAACCACGACCTTCTGGCTCCTACCCTATAAACTGCTTCACTGAGGAGGGGCTGAGAGCTGCTTCAGTTCTGTGAAGTTTTGCTTGTCACACACGCTCTCTGCAAAACTCATGCAAACAAAATTTTTGTCTGCTCCCTCTGAGCTCTTCCACTCAGTACCCCAAAGTTTCAGGAGTTAATACAGCAGGCAAGTAACAAAATCCAGTCTAATGCCCTGGCTGAGCACAAACAACTGTCAGCTGAATAATGTGTGCCCTAAAAGTATGCAAAGGTTGGACAAAATAAAAATAAAAAATAAAAAAAAAAAAAAGGGAGAAAAAAGAGGAAAGCAAATCAAGTGAGACAGTTTTCCAAGGAAGAGAAAAAGATGTTGGTATTAATGCAGACCACAGCACAGGCACAAAGTGTCCTGAGGATTTCAAGTGTAAGAATTACAGGCACCTACAATTTAATTCTCCTTCTGCCCAGAAAACAAAGCAAACAGCAGTGATGATGAGAGGTGCCTGCTGAGCAGCTTTGGAGTCAGGTACTTTCGTATACAGAAGAACAGACCAAGGCACACCTTGAACTGTACCAGTACTTCATACAGGCAGCATTACAGTTTTCCTCAAAGAAAACCCCAGCACTGAAAGGGTACCTCAGCATTCACAGTCCATTCCCCTTGTTCCCATGTCCTGGCTTTTTTCTGTAGGAGTCCCTGTTAGTATCACTCATGGCAAAAGAAAGGGGGCTGACAGGGAGACATACTAGCAAGAAAAATGCTGAGTTCACAGATTCACTTTTCATCCATCACCAGAAAGAGGAAGGCAATTTCAGTCCTTTCTCATCCCTGCCAAACCAAAACTGGCAGCTGGGAGATGGAAGTCTTTTTCATCCGTGTTTGCATGTAGAGCCTGTCAGTAATCCTGGTGCCTTCCATGCAGCTGGACAGATGCTCACCAGTACCCTGTCCCCAAACCCACCACAAAACTGTACCTCCTTGACTGCATCCAGGCACATGATCCAGAGAGTCTTTGCTGACTTGAAATTTCAGCATCATTACACCCTCCCCAAACACTTAGGTCTGATAATTTTTTACACGTTATCTCACTTTGAGGTCACAAGTAGAAACAAAAATCTCTTTTTTGCCCATTAATCTTTATTTGTACATCAGCATGGACTTGCCAAGGCTGTTAGCAAGCACACTTGCTAACACCTACAATGCAATCCAGTTACAGTTCACTCAGCTGATTCACATGACTAAATCATTAGATTAACACACTGAAAGCCCCATGGATTCCTACCATCCTTTCAGCCAAAACCAGTCCAGAAACAAAAATGCTCGTCA